TCGTTGTTCTTAGTATCCGTGCCGTCGGATCCCGTGTCAACTTTTTGTACGTTGACGGGGTCAAAAGTTCTTTAATTTTGTCTTCGTAGTTCAATGAAGACATGACCACAGTTGCATTGCCCTTATCAGCTGGCAACACGAGAATCTCCTTATCCTCATTCAGCGTTTTCAGGGCTTTTCTTTCACTGAAAGTGAGTGGATGACACTTTTGTTGTTTGGGGCCATGGTCTGACTGAACTGGAAGACTTCCTGAGGCACCTCAACTCAATAAACCCTAAAATTCAATTCACTATGGAAGTGGAGAAGGATGGGCGACTGCCTTTTTTGGATGTCTTGGTGACCAGAAAAGCCAACGGAAAGCTGGCCCACACGGTGTACAGGAAACCGACACATACCGACCGGTACCTACACAAAAGGGCTCTTGCCAGATTCTAATTACATTTTTCTTGAGACGTCGGAGAGACTTTTCTGAGGTTGTATTTTACTCGTAAAGAGTTATACTACAACGTACAATAAATGAAAATTTCATTAATGACTAACCAAAAAAAGTTATGGTAACATTTTCTTGAAACAAAACTAAATTAATTATAGAAAATTATGAATAATGAACGGATTTTAATGTAGTTTATCTGACATCATAAGTATTTTTAATACTTGAAAAAAAGTATAAAACTTTTTTCAATAGCATTCAACCTCTCAACAGTTATGCACAAAAACGAGCTTTCGCACGTTTCTTAATTATTTATAAATAATTGTTTATAAACAATGTTCCACAGCCGGAAATCGCCCTCAAACTATTGTCCCAATATTCTGTCATCCTTCCGAACTTCCAATAATCTTTTACCATCATATTTTTAGTGCACGAAACAGGCCTTTAAAGTCTAATCCGACTGGACTCAAAATACGCTTCAGCCCGGTTTCAGGTACAAACCAATATTTATCATGGGCCAAAATAACATGTGACAAAAAATCACAGATACTTGGAACAGGTTGGAACAGTCACATATGGAACGTGTGATTGAAAAATACTGGTTTGTGTCATCCCTACACTGAACTGATGGAACTGATGAACATCAGTTCAGTGTAAGATTTCGAGTAAACTTCTGAAAATGCAAAACAACCGAGATTATGAATAGTCAGGAAGAAATTCAATTGAAAAGTGTAAATTGTTCGCAGACACTTTATTGACTAAAAATTCCTAACGATGTGATATATCACAGAAATCGTTAATGACAGTTATTTTGAAGAAATGTCGTATGCCATTTTATTTGGAATTCAATTTCCTAAAAGTTTTCTTTTTAATGTTTTTCTGTCAAATTAATATCAACGGAACTAAGAGTAATTTACAAATTTACCATAAATTAAAAAATAAATCTCTTAATAGCTGTCAAATTTTAGAAAAATAAAATTGATTTCGAGTAGTGCATTCAAAACTACAATTCTTTGTAAATGTTTTCTTGTTCAAATTCTTGTTCAAATAAACTTTTTTGTAACTGCTAGCTATAGTTTCAAAGGTCATTGAAAAAAACTCACCCTGTATATATATTCGTCTACAATATCCAGAGTTTTTACTGTTATTCTTATGTTTTTGACCTTCTCATTATTTTTGTTTTTGATAAATTCTAGTTATTCTTAGTCCGACGTTATTTGCAGCTTTATTTAGCTGTTCTAGCGTKWTCTTAYGCTCCTGGATATYTGAACTAATAAGCACTATGTCATCGGCGAAGCGTAAATGGTTCAAAAAGATACCATCAACGTTTAAACCTTTATTCTCCCACGTTCTCTCCTCCACTGTCATTCTTTCTTACTATCTTATCAAAATCGGAAGTAGCATTGGGCTATTTGCATGCATACATGTCGCTGCATCCACATGCTAAATTGATGATATTAATAGACCTTTAAGTATCGAATTGCAACAAGTCGGAGGTGTAAATTGTAAACTATTTTTAGCTTAGATGTTTTGAATTTAGTTCATCGACGGTACTTGACGCATCTATTTTTCTTCATTTTCAGGATATGCCTAAGGATGGCAAATCGGTCCATGAAGAAACCGACCAAACTGAATTGGATTTTCTTCGCAACCCTCCAGAGAAACGAAGCAGATTTCAGGTAAATAGAGTTCGCACCGACAGCTACAACAACTATGAACGACATGTTCCCAACAAAATAATTGAAGACAATAGCAGCGACGATGATGTTTTTTCAACCACGGACAGGACTCGGTTAAGCCTGAGTTATACCCAAAAGCACTCCAGGTAGTCGATAACTTCACTATCATTTTTCTTTTTTGAAAAAATGCAATTTCTTAGACCGTTGACTAGAGAAGCTCTACCTAGACTGGACAACTACAGGAATATTATGTCTCTGCAAGCTGCTAATAGGCCAACTTTGGATGAACTTCACACATGCAATTTACCATCGGTAAGTGAAATTACAAAAAATATTCTTTTATTTATTCGAAATTTAATTTAACGGTGTGTTAAAATGTGCTGAATTAATTTGTCACAATAATCGAATAGAACACGTTCAATAAAAAATCATTTTAATAATTTGAGGAATTTAAAAGCGGTAAAGGAAATGAATTGTCATGGTCTTGCCGTTAAATAGCGAATTCCTCTAGGTTACTGATAAATGACCAGTAAAATAATAAATAGTCGATTGTGTTCATATAGTATTGCATATGGATCAGCTGTTTAAATGGAAAAGTGTTAACTAATTAGCGAATGCAACTGCAAGTATAAACGCTACCTGCAAATGATCAATTTTAAATTAAAGTTTTCAGAACAATATTTTAGGGCATGTGAGTTGATTGAGTAATTTCCACACAAAATACAATAAGTATTATGAATCTATAGATCGCCAGAAATTTTGTTAATAAAATGGTTATCATACATTCTTGGAAAAATATGATATGATAAACTATAGGAAAATATTTTTCCATTTCTATTACGGCCACTACAGAGATTATACAAAGATCCACAAAAATATTTTAGGTAAAAATTAGTATCATAAGATTTCTAAGAAATTATTATGTACAAGGGTGCCCCTTCAATGACTGTATAACGATTGACCAGGAATTTCCGAACTGAAAATTAGACGATCTAAGCATTACCCATATCCAATGTTGCTTAATTTTGCAAAAACTTCAATCATATCCTAATAGATGGATCGGAAGAGGCAACAATGCCCCCATAAATTGGCCAGCAAGATCACCCGATTTAACGCCGCTGGCTTTCTTAAATCAAAAGCGTATGCTTTGACCGTCGCTTTCCAGATTATTTTAAAAACAAGCCCGACACGATGCCCAAAGTACAGTTTTTAAAAACAAATAATTTATGTGTTCGGGAAAATGGTAAACATTTTGAACATTTTATAAAATACTTAAATTAGTGCAGTTATCCAGAAATAATAATTTTATTTGTTCCAAATAATTAAAAATCTGAATATAGATATCGTAAATAATTATTAATAGATAAACTGTAGATTTGATAAAAATTTTACAAGAGGCCAGACAGGAAACAGTTAATTACAATTTTTTAATAACAATTAATTTTTTTGCTATTTTTTCTATACTCATAAACACTAGAAATGCGGTAAATTTTCTGCTGTTTGCAGTTGTTTGCTACTTAGGGCACTAAGCAGTAAATTTTCCTTGTAAAACTAAGCAACAAAGATCCGTTGCAAAACCAACTTGCAAGGTTTTATCAAAATCGTCTAACCTGTGAAGAGACTTTTAAAGAGATGAATGTTTGCTTTAAAAAGCCGATTTGTTTCCCTCCATAGGGTATCTACTGTTGACGTTCTCGACTATTTTTTAAGATAAAAAGTTTTAAGAAATTTTATTCGTTATTCAGGTTTTCCAGAAATTCCTATTTGTCCAAAAGTTAGAAGCCAAAATGTTAAACTATCATATCGAGTCCTATCGAAGTATAACAAGTTACGCATATATCGGATACAATTAAAAATATTCAATTAGTCGCTTTTATCTTATCAACAGAATGTTTCGAGTACTGCCTGCTGCTAATTACCCTCATCAGAAGTTTAGCGTCTTTAAAGGACACAGGAAAAATCCAAACACGGTTGAACATTTTTAAATATTCCGGCAGTAATAAGAGCGGTGACTTTCTTCTGTAGGTCGGTTGAAGAAAATTAAATCAAGTTTCAACTAAAAGTTGCTTATACGTAATCATGACATACTGGGAAAAAATAGTAAATTCTGGCATTATGGATATGCCCATAATGCCAGAATTATAATGCTATATATATAATGCCTATACCTACCCATCTCTCACCTGATCCTCATAAAAAATTAATAGGCGTCTCATCCAAAATTCTTGTGAATGTCAAACTTTGTGAATTTTCAATAATCGAAGTGTTTCCAGGTCGTATCGAATGAACGAATAAGTCAGGTTGATAATATTAGAAATAAACGAAATTAACAAACATTTCTAATTAAGAATTTAATTATTGAGGAAGATTAGTTTATACAAGGTGTTTCATGAGGAAGGGCCATTATTTTAACCACGTACTTTACGTCCGAAAATAACCCAAGTTTGCTATATAAATGATAGCTGAAAAATGCTTCGCTACGGATTTACAGGGTGGTGAATTTTAATTTAAAAAATGCGAATTGATAAATTTTTTGAAAACCCATGTATATAT